CACCCCCCCCCCCCCCCAACACACACACGCTGCACACACCCGCTGCACACACCCGCTGCACCCGCCCCCTCCGCCGCCCCGCAGGCCCCGAGCCAAACAATGAGCTCTGGCTGCTGCGCGGCGCCGGCGGCGCGGTCACTGCGCCCACCACCTTCCCGTGCGCAAGCCCCCCCTCCCCCTCCCCCTCCTCCTCCTCCTCCTCCTCCTCCGGCAGCCTCGGTGCGGCCGCGGGCGCCGCCGCCGCCGCCGCCGCCGCCGCCGCGTGCGCATCGGTCGCTCGCGTCTGCGGAGGCGGCGCAGGCGCAGCGTGCCCCCCGGGCGAGGGGCAGGCTGCTGGAGGGCTGGCGCGCGGTGCTCCGTGCGCCGCTCTGGCGTGGCAGCACGTGTCGACGGGCGGCACTCCGCCGTGCGCGCGCGCCTTCCACGCGTCGGTGAGCGTCGGCCCGTGGCTGCTCGTGCTCGGGGGGGAGGCGGCCCCGTCGACCGAGGCGGGCCTCTTCCACTACCTCTCGGACGTGCACGCCCTCCGCCTCCCTCCGATTCCCTCGCCGGGCGCGGCGGCGATGGCGCTGGCAGCTCCCCCTGACCGAGGGAGAGGTGTGCGGCGCTTCAAGCCAAACTGACGCCCCTTCCGATGACGCCCGGTAGGCCTCCTGCTCTCCATCCTCCTCCTCCCCCTCCTCCCCCTCCTCCCCCTCCTCCCCCTCCTCCTCCTCCTCCTCCTCGCCAGTGGAGTGGAGGCTGCTCACTCCCCGCGGAGGATGCGCCGCCTGCTCCGCGCGTGCCGCCGGCGGAGTGGCGACGTGCACCGCCTCGTGCCCCGCGGCGCCGCCGTCCTCGCTCGCTTCGGTGCCGTCCCCGCCGCCTCCTCTGCGCCATCGCCCCGCTTCCCGACCCTTGGCGCACCCCCCCTCCTCCCACCCTGCTTCCAAGGTGTGGGTCGTGGACTCGGCGCTGCTCGTCTTCGGCGGCTTCAACCAGGCGAGTGCCCGCGCCAGAGACGGCTGCCGAGAGTGCGCGGGAGTGCTCTCCTGCGAAGACGGTCCTCACTCTCCCTCCTCCGTGCGCAGCTCGCTGACGCGGACCTCTCCGATTTGCACACGTTTGAGCTCGCCTGATGCGAGGGCACGGGTCGCGGCTGCGAACGAGTGGGCGGCTGTGAGCCGTTTGCTCGTGTGGGTGGGTGGAGAGGTGTGGGTGTTTTGCTTTTGGGGTGGGGTACTGGGAGGGCGAGGGGGGCCTCGTTTGGGAGGAGGGGCGCTTCATGAAGGGCGCCACGGTGCACACGGTCTTGCACTAACACCAAGGGGGGGGGCGCGTCGGGACTCGCTACTATCGAGTATAGAGCCGTGTATATCTGTATCTGTGTGCTCTAGAGGGAGCGGACCGTGAGTTGGAGGAAATCGAGGGACGCGACCCACTTCGCCACGCCACGAGAAACCAGGTAGAGCTCTACAGGGGAGGTTGCGTTAGTTTGTCACTCGCCATGCGCGTCCTTGGCTGACCCTCCAAAACTCCCTCCCCGCCGTTCGCGGCTCGGCTTGCGTATGCGGCTGGGAGCTTCGAGGACATGCAGGCGTCCCGCCCCCTCCGGCCATCCCCCCGGCTCCCATGCGCGCGGCCGCGACGCGCTGCGCACCCTCTTCCGCGCTGCACCCGCTCTCGGCATGGCCGTCGTCCGCCGAGATCACCTCCTCTTCGCGCCGCAGGTGCACAACCAAGGGCTGGCCACCTCCGTATCCATCATGATGAAGCCAATGGGCCAAAATCGGACTCCGCTCCCCTCCCAGGTGGCCGGAGGGTACACCTCGGGTCGGCGTGCTGGGGGGGCGCCGGTGCGCAAGCCCACTTTCCGGGCGAGCCCGAGGGGGAGGAGGCCGGGCGAGTGGCAGCAACTCACTGTTAGTGTCCCGGGCCGCTGCGGCACCGTTTATACGGCCCCTCGTGATGTCTTTCCGAATTTGCATTGTGAGTCGTCCTCTGGCCAGCCGAGGGGCGCCAGAACGGCATGTGTACTGGTGCTGGGTGCGGGTGCGGAACGGGCTTTTTTTAACTCGCAACCAACTACACTATACAAGGACACCCTCAGGGGGGACACGCGGCGCATGTGCGTCACGTCAGGGTGGAGTTGGCGGTGGCCGAGCGTCGTCTCCAGATCGACTCGCAGCGCGGAGTCGAGGGGTGAAGCGCGTCGCGCTGCGACACTCGAGAGCCGGCGGGATAGCCGTGGGGCGCGGCCGACTTTGAAGTCCTCAAAGATCCGGTGCGCATTCGTCCTCTGAGACCCACGCGTACAGGAAAGGGGCGAGAACGCGGCCATTCTCCATTGACAATCTAAAGTCTGGAGCGGCTCATCCTCAGCGGGTTGCGGTCCCCCGGGTACGCCTGCCACACCCGGCCTCGCTCTCCGCGCTCGGGAACCTGGTAGAACACCCTCGTTCCCCTCTGATCATGGAGCCCTCCGCTGTATTCCTCCACCAGCTGCTGCAGGTCCCTCGGCTGCGTGGCGAGGTACGCATTAGCGACACATATTCCGTGAAAGCGCAGCAGGTACGCAGCCTGTGGCAAGCGAAGGCGGCTCGCGTTTTAGCGAGGCGCAACTGGTTTGCTTGCTGCTGGGGCTGCTTCGCTACCCGCCTGGCACGCCGGACCGCAACCGTCACATCGCGGCAATGATCCCGGGAAACCACCACCCTGAAGCAATTGCACGTATCATCGCCCAGCCCGCTACGCTGATACTACGAGAAGGTAATCTCCTCAACTACGAACGCGGCTTGCGCTCTCTTCCCTCCAGGGAAGAGAGAGACACACACGCACCGTGGTGAGCTTGCATGTTGGGGGCGGTGTTTCATTCGACGTTGTGCTTTTTAGTGCTTTTGGCGTTCCCTCGCGGCCCTCGCCGTGCGTCACTATCTCCTTGCCCCCTTTTGAAAAATATAATATTTCGTGAACCCTTTTTTCGACCCATCTCCTCTCTGTACTGCGGAGGTGTATGATTCGCCTTATGCCACCGTCGCGTATCCTTCTTTTTTTAGCGAAGGCCGTAGCTACTGCAGGTCAGGTGAAAACAGCCGTGTGAGCAGATCCATCAGCACAAACGTTCGTGCAACAAAACGATTTTCAACGAGCCAACATGAGTCGTCGCATCAGACTTTTGTCAGCTTTGGCGCCAGACGACGGCATCAGTCCGCCTTTTGCCCCTCCTATGGTGTGACGTGCGGTGAAGCGTGAGTAGCATCGCATGCCGGCCATACCAGTGCTCGTTGCCGGCTGCGTGAAGGGGTATACCTGATAGGCGCTCATGCCGCCGGCGCCAGCCACCAGCCCGAGCGCCAGAAACAGCAGGTCGATAGAGCTGCCGCCGCTTGCTTCAGCCTCTGCCGCGTCGGCGGCGGGTACGGTCGCCGCTGCCGGTGCCACTGGCGTTGCCGGCGCCGGTGCCGGTGCTTTCGAGACGGCCGAAGCGGCGGTTGCCGCCACCGCAGCCGTTGCCGCCGCTGGCGTGGCCGGCGGCGCCGGCGGCGCTTTTGTGGTGGCCTCGGTGGTCGGGGAGGCAATGCCGGATGAGGACGCAGAGGCATCGGTCGTGGCTGGCGGGGTAGAGCCGCCTCCCAAAATGCTCCAACCCTTGAAGAGGAATTCAGAGGGGCTAATCTTGCCGTCCTTATTCTTGTCGAGCTTGGCAAATTCGGCGTCAACATCCTCATCCGAGGCAGGCCGGCCCGCCTGCAACGAAGGGAGGGTGTTAGTGTCGCTGGCAACTGTAGCAGCATGGAGTTGCGAGAACATGCCCACCCTGATCAATGCGACCCTCAGCTCTTCCTTGTCAATCCTGCCGCTCGCATCGGTGTCCGCCTCTGAAAACTCTGTGGCCGCCGCCTCATATCCCTTCCTGGCTAGCTTCTGCTCGGCAACCTGTCCAACAAGGAGAGACGGTTAGCAACATCGACAGCAACACGGCATGTGTTTTGAGCAGGCTTGGCCACCACTCCAACGAGCCACTGTACTCCGTCGTTGATGCTGTCTGGCGGCTTTTCACCGATTTTACGATCCGGCAATTTCGTTGTCTTTGGCCGTGTCAGCCGAACGTGGCGAGTTGCAAGACGGGACGCGAGGACGCGCATGGGTCGGCAACTGAGGGACGTCCCGTCGTCGCAACGGGATGGCGAACTCGGACGGCGTGAACGAACCGTCCTGGCTCCCCGGCCCTGGGTGTGCGGTTGCTGACTGCACTCCAAGTGCTCCAAGTGCTCTCCTCTCTCCTCATAGTCAGAGGATGAAGCGGCAGGAGAGAGAACGACGAGAGTGAGAACGAGACCGCGAGGTGGCATGGAAGATCGCGGCGAGAATTGGCGAGAGACTGCGAGGAGAGATAGGAAGAGGCAGACACCCAAGGGTGGGCGACGGCCAGAGCACCACACTCCTCTCCTTAAAATCCCTGTGTGGTGCCGGCGTGCCGTCCTCCCATCTCCCTTCCCTTGACGCTTGAAGATGTGGCTGTTGGTCTTTTCTTGCTTTTTCTTCCTCATAAATCTACATCCATCGTATCTCGACGGGGGAGACCCCCCACCGGGCGGCGGCGGCGGCGACGGCGGCGGAGCGGGCGGCAAGGCGGCCAAGGACCGCGAGCGGGTGCGCCCCGACCCTCCCACCCCCCCAGACTCCGACGCCGACTCGTCGGAGGACGACGTGGGCGGCGGTGGTCACCGCGGCCCCCCCCCGAGCGCCAATTCCCCTCAACCTGCGCAAATCGTGCAACTCGCGGACCTGAGGAGTCTGGAGCTTCAGCTGGGTACAATCATGCCGCTCTCGGCACAGAAGCAGCGAGCGCGAGCGCCGCGCCGCGCAGCGCGCTGCCGAGGCTCAGGACGCGACTCGCGGGGAGCCCAGACCGTCCGGCCGCGCACCGGTTGGGTACTACTGGGACCCCCGGCCGGGCGAGCCGACAGGCACCTGGCGCAACCTCCTTACCAACGAGGCCTTGGATCTTGGAGCAGCAAAGCGCGACACTAAGTACGCGGCTGAGCTGCTCGGGCTACGCGCCTCGACGTGCCGTGGTCAGTTTGGCACGGCTACGAGGCGGGCGGACGGGAGCCCGGCATCCTATGGAGATATGACGCTGAAGAGCGTACCTTCACGGTGCGCTTCGAAAACGAGCTCGACCTCGACGATCTCGAGGACGTGTCGTGGGCGGAGGTGCTCGGCACTGTGCCCATGGCGGAGAGCGCCGGCGAGCCCGCGATTTTGCATCGGCTGGACGAGCTGCCGCTCGTGCGCGCCCCACGCGGCGCTCAACCGCAAGATGGCGTGTGGCGCATGCGCGGCGGTCTTTGGATAAACCGGCACGGCATGGCGCTGTACGAGGAGGACGCGGGCGAGAGCGACTCCGCCGATGACGACGAACTTGGCAGCGCGCGGCCAGCCGCGTCGCACACATTCATTCACATCCCACCCTCTTTGCAACCACAGGTTCTGCGTACGCCGCTGGCTGCAGCGGTTGCAAAGTCACGCCTTCGGGCCACGCCCATTATATCTCACCCGCTTTCGCCACACGCCCGTTACCTCGCCCGCCCCGCGCACGCCCGCGCCTCCGTATGCGTGCTCACGCTCTCTCTGAGCAAGCCGCCGTGTGCGCGCAGATGCCCCCGGGAGGAAGGGAGGGAGGGGCGTTTCGTTGTAAATTGATGAGAGGACTAGCACTCACCGCCCGCACACTGCCGCCCATCCCTCCAAACGGGCTTCTTGGGTGGAAAGATATGCCACCGGCCGGCGCCTTCCGGTTACTCAAAACGGTGTGGAGACACATTCTCTCGGCGCCGTCGCGGGTAAGCAGAGGCGGGGCGGTCTCCGCTTGTATGTTCTGCGTCAGGGTTGCGCTGCAGACGAACGGCTCAAACTCGCGCGTTGGCCACGTCGCCATCGTCGACAAGAAGGTGCCAGTAGCGTACTTTAGTAGCGGCTGCGTGCCGAGCAAGAGCTGTACAACCCGCCTCTTCCCTCCCCGCAGGAGCCCAACGGTCGCGGGCTCCACGTGCGGCTGCTCACGTGCCACGCGCGGGACCTATGGCTCCCCGCCGCGCTCAAGGGAAACGCCTGGCAGCCTCTCGAGAGCTGCCGC